GAATAGAATTCTGTAACCTAGCCAATTCCATAACATTTGTTCATATTTCTGGTCAGTTATTTTGTTAATTCAAAATCTAGATCGGGTCCTGTGTCTTTTTACTTTCATTTCATGTTGACCTTTGCAATCTATGAAATCACAATTAGAAAAAATGTTGCAGTAAAAGTGTGTAAAATGCCACACAGAGGAAAGCCTTCTCATCAAAAGCTATCTTTCTTCTTTAACCACATGACTGCACCGCATTGTGACCATTACAAGCTTGTCCAGAACATCCATATCATCATCATCTTCATCAGCAGCAGTCCTTCATTCTCGGCCTGTAGAAGCCTCATCGACACCCATGTCCGAGTTCTCTGCACTTCATCCAGGCCATTTTTCTGCTTGAGGTCCGAGCAGCCGTCGTCTGTAAGAGGACCAGCAGACATGGAGAGGTAAGAAAAAAACTGCTTCATTTAAAAATTGATGGCGAGTTACGATTTTCTACCAACTAACTTTTCAACTTTTGATCCTGGTTCTTTAGAAAAACCAATGTGTTACTCTTTGTGCTGCTTTTCCTCGGTGTAGCTGAGACGTTGGGCGATTTTCTGACTTTGGGTAACAGTTTTCTAGTCCTTAAGCAAATGAAAATGGCTTTTTTGTTTGATTTTAAACTTTTACAATGTTTTTGTATAATTTGTAAGGGTGGTCAGAATGTTTTGATTTCTAAAAATCATCTCCATAAAAACACAGAAAACATAGCTGGGAAGCTGACTTTCTACCAGATGGATGGGAACTCCACCTATGTGAGGAACACAGGAGAACTGGCCTCAGACGTTCCCACTGAGACCATGTTCGAGCTCTTTGATCCTTTGCAGAACTTCAGCTCTGCAAAATTCAGCTACACTTGGGATTTAGGAAATGGGTACAGTCCTCCGTACTGAGTATTCCTGGGACTTTTCCCCAGTGCTTTTCGCAATGACTGACACTGCCTTTTCATCCCTGATGTAGAGAAGTGATACAGGGCACTGAGCCTGTCGTCCGCTACCTTTACACACACTCAGGAAACTACACACTGCAGCTGAAAGTTGGAGTCAATCTTAACAAATCTGCACCGGAAATTACTGAGGTTTACTCCACTGATCTCAAAGTCCTGGGTGAGTAGTTCAGTTTATTTTCTATTTTTATAATCTTGATTTAAGTATATAACTGTGAGGGAAACTGCATCAATGCAGCCACAAGGGGTTCTCTATTGTGTTGTCCATTTAAGGGTGAAAGGTCAACTGTAACCAATCATAAAGCTCTCCAGTTCAATAAAGGGTCAAAACCATAAAACCATTCACACTTACACTCACACCATTAAGATTGAACATTTAACCATTTTTGTTTTTTGGGTGTGCACATGGGTTAAAAACACATGTGCACACGAAAACATCAACCCTCAACACAGAGAGACTTTCACAGACCACCGGGACCAAACTACTGTACTTTTTTCTTCCTAAAGAGACACCAACTTGTACTTCAGTCATCTGTACTTCTACTTAAGTTTCTCTCGTACTACTAGCATCATGCATCTGACAACGACACTACAGATTTGGTGGCATTTGGCTAGAAGCAACCAACCTCAAAGCTTAGGAGATTATTTCTAGAAAGAGAAACCATTAAAATAAGATTTTACCTTGTAATTATTTTTGCAGATGCCATCAAAAACATCGAGCTGAAGGGTCCTTCGAACTATGAGGTGTCTGAGAACTACAGCCTGGCTTTTCATGTCGACGGAAGGTAATATATACAGCTAATTAGCACAACTGGTGGGACAAGTTTGTATATTAACAGTAAAATATATATAATTATAGTTTAATATGCAGTATAATTACATGTAAATGTTATTTAAGTGTAAAGTCGTTAAGACCGCAAAGAAAAATATATTAGCAAAGTCAAACGTGACATTTATTTTAATTGCAAGGTAAAACTAGCCAGTAACAGGTTTAACCTGTCATCACGACAGTGTTGTTGATTTATCAAGATCGACTGCTTTGGTTTAAATTACAGACGCGCTGTGATGACGTCAGTGTTGGCAGACGCATTTTGGTCTAATTGTCGTCTTTGTACGATAAGTTGGTCCTGTCTGACCGATCATTTTATATATATATTATACGATTATTTGACGTATTCATTAGATTTCTTAATTGCTTAAACATAACGCACTTATTTTCTCGAACAGCGTGACACTTCCTTTCTTGCAGCCAATCAACGCACGAGGAACCCGGGCCAGCATGGAAATTGGATGCTTTAATACGTTTAATTAAAATTCGACATTTTACATAGTTATCGTTTTGAGCGTATCCCAGTAAAGTACTGGCTGGGAAAACCCACACAGCTCACTTCTGCGATTATTGCTCCCGTTTCCAGGGGCGTAACAAAGGGATTCTACTAACTGCATTAGTTCAACGTACTTATCTGATTAAGCTGTTAGTCGAAAACTGAAGGCTGTCATTTATAGGTCATAGCTAAGAATCGTATTATACAAGAAACATTGTACCCATCTCTGGTTTCCATCACTGTCAATACCTTTTC